GGTAGGTAGGTAGGTAGGTAGGTAGGTAGGTAGGTAGGTAGGTAGGTAGGTAGGTAAGTAGGTAGGTAGGTATGTGTATGTGTCTGTGTGTATTTATCTACGCGTATGAGTGTATATATTATTATGTGCGCGTGCTTTCATGTGTGTGAGTAAGTTAAAATGAGCGTACGCTCTCCCACACATGTGAATAATGTGTATGTCTGTGGGGGCGGGAGGCTACTCCTGTCAGCATAAAGATTTATCCATGTATTTACTTTCCTGCTGCCGAATCTGCTGAATTCCCTCCGCCAATACCACCCAGAAGCAGAATCAATCAATCACATCTTCGCTTGATGTTATCTTACGACCCCACACCACACCTCATGGCCAGCGCAAGTGTTCGATACTTACACTAAAAACTGTACCTCTGGCAAAAAGTCAAAGGTTCGTGGGCTGAACGATTCGATCTCTGTATTTGTGCGTTTTGTTTTCGTTTTTTTGTCTTTTAGTTGAGAAAAACATGTAGTATTGTACCATTGGCAAAAAGTCAAAGGTTCGCACACTGAACTCGGTCTCTGTATTTGTGCGCCTTGGTTTCGTTTTGTTGTGTTTTTTCGTTGTTGAGAAATTGCATGTAGTAATGTTAGGCTGGTGGTTGGAGGGCGCCACTGGTAGGTTCTACGTCTTGTCATTCCACTTGTTATTATTATGTCGTCTGCCTGTCTGTCTCTCTTGCTTTACCCCCAGGACGAAATGACAATTTATTTCGTCCAATATACGCCTTTTTGCTAAAACTCAAACTCGAAGAAAAAAATGTTGTCGTTCTTTTGGAGAAGAGATACGTCTTTTGTATAATGTGATTCTCCCCCCCCCCCAACCCCTTTGGCGTGTTTTTTTCGTTATTTCTCTGTACTAAACAGCTACTACTGTGTCGATGTGCTTCTCCTTACACAAACATCTATTCTAATTGCGTACTACAAAATCGTTTTGCGTCATCAAATCTTAATGTGATGAGCAGCATACGTGAATAGAAATCTATCCTACACGGTAGCTCAAAACGTATATTTTGAACCAGTTTCCTTCTTTGAAGACAAATCTAAGGAAGAAAATCCATCGCGCACACTCACAAGAGAGCATTAACATCAGAGTTCTCACAACTACAGAAGTAGCCATAGACTCTGTAAAAAGTATTAATTAAAACCAAAACTTCTGTTCGCTTATCAAACTTGTTATTATTTTCCTTTTTACAATGTTAAAAAACCCGCTCTATTTTTACTGTGCATGTGGATTTAAAACGAATAAAGAATCATGCAATCAAGTTATTTAGCAGAAAAAAAGATTTATAAAGGAAATTTTAAAAAGGCACAAAAGTGGAGGGGGGTGGGGCAGCGAATAAACTGCGAGCAATCTGCGGTGAAGATTGGGAACAAATGACGTGTTTTAAACTAGGGGTCAGAAAATATCTTCACTAAGGGGCTGCAGATGCGCAATTTATGATGAACTCGCAAACACACTCGCGCGCACGCACACACGCACACAAAACACAAACACACTTACACACGTAAACAAATTAACACCTTCATATACAGGCACAAATACACACACACAATTACACACACACACACACTCACGCATGCACACACACACACACACACACACACACGTGCACACACTCACACACAAACTCTCTCACGCACACAAATTCAATACACACGCCTGACCTAACACTCCTAAATACTTTTTTCCTATTAAAAAACAATCTGTCATCCTTATCCCTCCACCTTCTTTTTTGTATTTGGTACTCTCTTGTAACACCAATAATCTTAGGCACATATATGGCCTTATTCTGTTGCAGGCGTCATGAAACGCTCACTACAACAAACTTCAACACACTGGCTGAAAGACACATCCACCTATAAAAACTCGATCAAAAACGTAAATATTATTCGGCTACAACCTGTTTCTATATCGAATAATTCGCACAAATCCGCACCACACACGAAGAAAGGAAATCTACGCAAAAAAAATAATTGACCAAAAAAACAAAGATCTTAAAAATCCAAATGCCAACACGGAGTCAAAAATCTATTGTCTTTTAAACTGCCATGGTATTTCAGTCCTCTAAAAGTTGTAAGTCACTTCACACGAACATCCGTGAATTCATCTCGCCCTCGCTCCTTTACTCCCTCACTCTTTCCCTCTCTCGCTCACTCGCTCACTCACTCTCACAACCGCTAAACCACTGGCAGCTCCGAAACTCCCTAGCACTCACGAGGAACGACCGAAACCATCTCCGGACAAGACGCGAAGGAATCTGACACTGTTCTGGCGACACAGCGAGGAGGAGGAAGAGGAGGAGAGAGAAAGAGAAATCACCAGATGTCCGCAGAAAATCGAAACATAGAGTGAAGTGAAGAAAGAACGGAACAAAATGAAAAGAGAAGAAGGAGAAAAAAAAATAAAACAAAAAAAAAAGAAACGAAAAAAAAATTACCCCCAACGAAACAAAACAAAAACGAAACTCTTTGGTGTGAACTAGAAGAGATAATTTCCAACGCCGTTTGATTCACAAGCTGGTGAAAGTCAATCGCTTCTGGCAAACAGAATTTGCTCAGAGTAATAATATAATAACCAGACGGGGCGAGGGGGAAAGAGGGAGAGCAAGGCGCGGATAATTCTTCCAGAACGGGACATGTCCTTTTGTGCGCGCGCGCACGTACGCACACGCGCTCACATACACATAAACGTATACGCACACACAAACACACACACACACACATACACGCATACATATTACTCCCCAACACATAAACACACACACGCTCTCACATACACATAAACGTATACGCACACTCACTCTCTCTCTCTCTCTCTCTCTCTCACACACACACACACATACACACACACACACACACACACACACACACACACACACACACACATACACACACATATATATATATGCATGCACAAACGGGCATACTTACTCATAAAACAGCATGTATTTAATAACTCACTTTTACACAAACGCTCATGCTTACATATACGCCTATATATTAGGAATTAATTGTCTACACTTTCTTTTCTTTTTCTTCTGTCTCTTTCTCCCTGTCCCTTTTTTCCTTTGTATTTCTGCCCCCCCCCCCCTTTTCTCTCAAACACACTTAAACACATTCTCTCTTTCTCTCTCTTCCCCTCACTCTCCCCCCTCTCTCTCTCTCTCACACACATACACGAACACACTCACACACATACACGCATACACATTACTCCCCAAGACATAAACACACACACACACACTCACACACACACACACGAACACACACGCACACACACATACACATACACGCATACACATTACTCCCCTACACATTAACACACACACACATACACACATACACACACACACACACACACACACACACACGCACAC